GAGTGAAATAAAGAGTTTTAGTAGCTGAATTCTGCCCCCCTCCCAAATTCATGTGTTGAAACCCTAACCACCCCCACCCCACCACCACCACCCCCAGTTGTCTGCTTGCTCCCTGAAGGCTGGAGTTACATCAGGAGAAACCTGTTAGAAGTCAAAACTACCCTAAATCAAGGCATTTAGTAATTAGGGGACTTCAAAATGTTTCTGGAGCATAGAATTAAAGTACGAGTTTATTCTGGTGCAAAATGTTTTGAAATCCATGCATCGATTTTATAGAATATGCGTTTTCCAAGGCCTCCTCCTGACACACACACACATCCACCTAATCTACTGACCATCATAGCTTAGCCTGACCTGCCTTAAACATGCTCAGAACATCTACATCTGCCTACAGAGGACAAAATGATCTAACATGAAGCCTATTTTATAATAAAGTGTTGAACATATCATGCAATTTAGCAAATACTGTGCTGAGAGCACAAACAGAATGGTTGTATGGATACTCAGCGTCAGAGTTGTACTGCACGGAAATTGCTTTTACCCCATTGTGTAGTTGAAAACTCACAGATTAAGCCATCATAAATTGAGGACCATCTATATTTAGAGATAGAGTATTTAAAGAGACAACTGAGAGACCAGCAGATGGCGCAGTGGTTACATTGCTGGACTCCCACATAGTCGATTGTAGTTCGAGTCCCAGACCCCCAGCTTGAAACTCAAGCTGAGCACGTGTGCGTGCATGCCCAAGATCCTGAGAGGAGAATGGAGGAGAGGGGAGTGTGGTGTGGTCATTCCCCTGAAGGGGGGATTTCTTGTTTTCTGTCTCTCCATCCCTTTCTGTCTGCAAACATGCACACACCCTATAGCTAAAACTCTCTAAAAAAATGGATAAATAATAAATTAATAAATAGATAACTGAGTTCTAATGAGATTATAAAGTGGGCCCTAATCTAGTATGACTAGGGTCCTGCATAGGAAGAGGAGATTAGGACAGACACAAAGAGAGACCCTGTACAGGCGCAGGCGGAAGGCAGTCAGCAAGCCAAGGTGAGAGGCCTTCAAGGAAACCAACCCTGCCGACAGCTTGATCTTGAACTTCCAGCCTCCAGAATTGTGAGCAAGTCAGTCTGTTGCTTAAACCACCCTGTCTGTGTCAATATTATGGCAGCCCTAGCAAATCTATGGGGGAATAAGTATAATACCTGCAAGGAAAGAAAAGCAAGGCGGAAGGCAGTCAGCAAGCCAAGGTGAGAGGCCTTCAAGGAAACCAACCCTGCCGACAGCTTGATCTTGAACTTCCAGCCTCCAGAATTGTGAGCAAGTCAGTCTGTTGCTTAAACCACCCTGTCTGTGTCAATATTATGGCAGCCCTAGCAAATCTATGGGGGAATAAGTATAATACCTGCAAGGAAAGAAAAGCAGGAGGGGAACAGCAGTTGGTGTAATGGCTATGTCGCTGGACTCCCATGTAGTCAACCGTGGTTCTAGTCCCGGACCCAGTGACTTAAACTCACACTGGGCGCGAGTGCATGCGTGCCCGCCCAAGATCCCAAGAGGAGAATGGAGGAGAAGGGATTGCGGTGTGGCCATCCTCCCTGGGGGGTGATTTCTTGCTTTCTGTCTCTGTCTCTCTCTGTGTTTCTGGTGAGCACATGCGCCCTATTAAAAAACAAACAAACAAACAAACAAACAAACAAAACAACTCTTAAAGAAAAAAAGAAAAAGAAAAGCAGGAGAATGTGTTCAGGCTCTTGCATGCTATATAAGCACCATGGGGTTTTATAACTTTCACCATTATCTGGGACTCTCCAGATCATATCTGTTGTGTTGGTCTGTGGTCTGTGCAGGACTCATTCTCCTTTCTTTTAGGAACAGCAGCTGGATTATTGGGGTGGAGGATTCCAGCTTCTGCCATCAGTGTCTGTGGCATTTGGACTGACCACGCTCCCCCCATTCCAGGGATGACTGACTTGCTGGTTGGCATATCCATTTTCTTTTTTCTTCTTCTGCCGCTAGCTCTTTTGTTGGAGGCTGAATTATTAGTAGAAAGTCTTCATTCCCTTAAAAATCTAGTTCACAGTAGCCATGTGGAACCTTATCCTGAAGGCCCGTGGCTTCTTCTCGGCATATCCATTTTCTTGATGACAGTATGAATGGGATGAATGTGTGTTCCAAATTGCCCAAATTCAGTCGTAGACTTTAGGTCGCCAGGTAAAAATCCAGTTAAAGCTCAGTTAAATTTGAATTTTGTATAAATCTTTAGTGTAAGCGTGTCCCAGGTAATTGCTAGATTTGGTAACCTTAGCTGTATTGTTAGAGCAGCTTTCTTTCTTTCTTTCTTTCTTTCTTTCTTTCTTTCTTTCTTCTTTCTTTCTTTTCTTTCCCTTTCTTTCTTTCTCTCTCTCTCTCTCTCTCTCTCTCTCTCTCTCTCTCTTTCTTTCTTTCTTTCTTTCTTTTGGCTATAGGGTGTATGTGCTCATCAGAGAGACAGAAAGTGAGAAATCAACCCCCAGGGGGAATGGCCATGTACATGTCATTTTCCTCCATCCTCCTCTTGGGGTTTTGGGCATGCAAACACATGCAC